TCGTGCGCAGGCCCTTTGCGTCGACGGACCGTGGCCGTCGATCGGGCGAATCGAACGGCTCGCGCACTCCCGCGCTTTCTCCCTTTGGCCCAATGGTTCTTAATTTCCCGCCCCCCCACCCGGACCCGCAATTCGTATTTCGAAAAAGGCCTTCCGTTCCGCGCGGAAAACCCTTCGCTTGTCGAAGGCGTGCGAGCCCATAAAACGACACCAGCCCCCGTAATGGTCATTTCGCATTATCGCATTTTGTGGGGACATGCTGTCGGAGTAATTGTGCGAGCTCCCGCGAACCCCGCCATTTGACGTCAACTCAATCTGCAGCTCCGCGCCACATCGTCCAACGTGCGCCGAATCCCGATTTGCGCCGGCGACGACATGCACCACGCACGGTGAGCGTAGCCATCGCAATCCTCAGCGTTGCTCCGCGTCCTCTGTCGTCCAACTTGCACTGAATCCGATTAGCGTTGACGACCAGATGCACCACGCACGGTGAGCGTAGCCATCGCGATCCTCAGCGCTGCACCACGCACGGTGAGCGTAGCCATCGCTGGGAACACCGCGCGGACTTGCATCGCAAAGCACTCCCTGCCCTGCGTTGTCTTTCGTCCTAATCAGTGACTTGCGGCCACACCAAGCAACTCGCGACGCAATCAAGCCACGCGCCAATCACTAACTTGTTGCCGCTCGAGCGACGCAAACCATCCGCCTCCACACCACGCACGTCCCCACGTTCACACTGCGATCTCCGCGGCATCAGGGTAGGGGCGGAGGATCCATTGGCCACACGACATCTTCATCGCGGTGAGTACCTGTGGAAAGGGTGACTGATTGAATACGACCTTCGTTTTGAACGCGGATGTGCCAGAGCAATGCCATGTGCGAGGGTGATCCCATTTGTGTGTGTGCGTGTGACTGTGCAAGTGCGTGCGTGTGACCGTGTTGGTCGCGCCATGTATGTCCGGGTCGACTAGCGTTGTTATCACACGTTTTGTTTGCCTCGTGTGTTTCTCTATCTCCTTCATTGGTTCGTGTACTGCCGTGATGTGCGCGCCATTTAGGTTTGCATAGCTTTCACGTGCACTATCGTACGTAGATGTGTCAATGTTTGTGCGCGGAGAAAGTTTTTAATCGGTTGATTGGACGCGCCACCCTTGCATGGAAAGCGCGTGTGCAGATCTACAGAGCCACCCCTCCATGGAAAGCACATTAGCAATGCAAGTGGATCTCCGAGTGGTCGACACGGTTCACAAAAAGACTTCCTGCACCTGACTGGCGGAAGTGAATCCGCGATTGACAATTTTCGTCTCTCTCCGACACCCCCACGATCCCGGTGACCAGGTTTGCGACGATCCGGGTGTGTGGGTACACGGGATAGTGCGCCAAATCAGCCGCGCATGTCATGCCCAATGCAAGGTGTGGTCGAGATGAGCATGTTGTCCCTTGATTCCTTGATTATGATCAGGCGCAAACAACCCGATGGCTTGGCTAGTAGAACGATCAGAAACAAGCAAATAAAAAACCTTGATGCTCGTGCCGACCAATCCTCGCGATAGGCATCACATTCACGACCGATCCCATTCAATCACGCCTTTACCACACGATCCAGATCCGTATGTTTTGGGAAAGGAACGATCGCGTCTGATCGATCGTGAATGTGATGCCTGTCGCCAAGAGTGGTCGGTACAAGCATCTCGTTTTTTATGTGTTTGATTGTACACAGGGTCGATTGAACGGTTGTTTGCGACTGATCATAATCAAACCTTGCGTTAGGCATGACATGCGCGGCTGATCCGGTGCACTATCCCGTCTACCCACACACCCGGATCGTTGCAAACCTCGTCACGGAGATCGCGGGGGTGCTGGAGAGAGACAAAAATCGCCAATCGCAGATCCAGAGGAAAACACTGATCTTCACAAAGCGAGACACAGAGGAAAACACTGATTCTCACAAAGCGACGTCCATGACATGTCCCAACAGCTCTCACGATGCACCAGGATCGCCAGTGTCCGGGAGAGAGAAAGAGAGAAAAACACGGATGCTGGCGAACTTCCCAACCGCCCGGTCTGCTGGCCATCGGGCAACATCGAACCTCGGGTTTCAACGAACCTGGGGAACGGATGCTGGCGAACTTCTACACCGCCCGGTCTGCTGGCCATCGGGCAGCATCGAACCTCGGGTTTCAACGAACCTGGAGAGCTAACTCTACCGCGAATCCATTCGCACCGCCAGCTTCTTTCAGTTCCCGTCTGTCTCTGTCGATGTCTCTCATTCTCTCTCCATCTCTTCGTTCGCCTCTATCTCGAACTCTCAGGCAATCCCCAAGTCTCGCATTCTGTCGAAGTTGGGATCCCGACGAACTTCGTATTTACACCTATCCATTCACATGGCTACGGCCTTGGTGCTGCCGTTGGATGTACGACCTTCCGAACTTGTCATATCGTGCAATCGGACAACGGAAGAAGTTCGGATCCCGGCGAACTTCTGATGTTGTGTGAGCACGCGGGGCAACCCCAAACTACAGGCACAGTAGAGGATATATGAATTGGCAAAGTCCGCCGGAATCCGAACTTCAAGAGACCACGACCCTGCTGGTTCTGCCGGGATCCGGGCTCCCCTGCCGAATTCGCACACCGGTAGTCTCTTGAAGTTCGGATCCCGACGGACTTTGCTAATTCATATTTCCTCTAGTGCGCATGCAGTTAGGGGTTGCCCCACATATTCGCACAACAACAGAAGTTCACCGTAATCCGAACTTCAGATACCGACAGCGGAAGAAGTTCGGATTCGGGCGAACTTCTTGAGTTGTGCGAAAACGCCGGGCAAACCCACACCGCAGTCACACCAGAGGATATTGAATAGGCGCAGTACGCCAGAATCCGAACTTCAAGAGATTGTGGGCCTGCGGGTTCGGCTGACAGTCGGCAGACAATTATCTTTGTCTTTCATGCACTCCCGGGAAGTCCGGATCCCTGCGAACTCCAGATTCCCACAACGGAAGAAGTTCAGATTCCGGCAAACTTCTGCTGTTGTGCGAAAACGCCCAGCAACCCCGAACATCTTGAACACCAGAGGATATTTGAAAAGGCTTAGTCCGCCGAAATCCGAACTTTCCACAGCTGACGAAGTTCGAATTCCGGCAAACTTCTATTGATGTGCGCATGCGCGGGGCAACCCCAAACCACAGGAACACCATATGATATTTGAAAATACTTAGTTCGCCGAAATCTGAAACTCAGCAAAGTGAGGGCCTGCGAGTTCGGCGCACAGTTGTCTATCACTCTAACGCACTCTTCGGAAGTCCGCACAACTTCAGGTTCCCACATTCCGCAGGACATGTATGGGGGGCCGTTGCACTGTGCATTTGGACATCGACGGGGTTCGTGCAGTTCACTGTGTTCCGAAGCGAAATCACCCAACCGCCAAGCTCGAATCAGCTGTTTGAACGATTGTGGCTTTCGAGACCGAACTTCGCATGTGGCGTTGCTGGATGACACGCAAATCGGGGTTGATGGCGGACTCCGGTTTCAGGGCAGACCAGGTGCCTCCGCGGTTTCACAGACCATGCAAGAACGAATCCTGGCGGAATCCTGTAGTCAGGACTCCGGCGAACTACACATTCAGGCGTCTTTGGAGTTCCGACTGTGGATTTTTTTCGCCCTCTAGAGTGAAACAACAGCGCAAGATTTTTGTCGCCCTCTGTAGTGCAACAACAGCGCAAGAAAGAGTTTGTTTACGAGTGCCTGTCATTTCGTGTGCGTGCGTGGTGTGTAGGGTGCATACTGTCGTCGATGCCGTCGACAAACACGACCATGAGTCCCGAGACCCACATGCGTTTAGCAGCACCGTTCCCTCCTTGTGCGAGATCAATGCGGCGTATTGACGGTCAAACTTGCATCAACGGAGCCGCTGCGGAGGACTTCGATGAGGACCCGTGGATGACCGTCTCCCCGTACACGGACCGGCATCTTGACCGTTGGAGCGATGCCACTTGGAAAGCGATGGAGAGTGGCTGCTCTTGGGCGAGCGATTACAAGTTCGCCAGTATGTTGGAATTCGGTGACCTCATCGCACTGCCAGACGGTGTTCTCGAGCGCAAATTCCTGAACCATGTACGAAAAACAGTGCGCTGCATCAGCCGCCATTGCAGTCGTCTCGACTGCGAGTGCATCACTTCTTCGCCTCGCACTTGGGGAAGTTCTGGGAAACAAGAGTTGCTGGACTGCGCTCGTCATTGTTCGTTCTTGGAGCAGTACCCGCTCCGCCGCCCCGGGATTCGTCCTCAAACCGTGTCATACTGCGGCGTGCGGTTGTCCATCACCGGATGTGCCTTCGCCAGAGTGCTATGTGCCGCCACTACGAACAAAAGCGAAAAACTCGTCGATGCAGTTGTGCGTGTGTCACGGAACGAGGTGTCAATCGTGGCAGAAGGCGGAAGGCCGGTGTACAGGTTTTCACCGTTGCGGTACCACGGTCCGAAAGGCTGGTCAGATTTGATAATAGCAGGCCAGGTCGACGATTTTACATTGTGGCGTGAGGTTGAAGAGAAAGTGTCCCAAATACGAGACTGTATAGGGAATTCCCTGGCACGACCGGGCATGTTCGTCAGGATGAAATACATGTCCGTGTTTTCGGAGAATGCAACAGCCGAGGGGCCGCAGATCCACGTGTACGGATCATCAATGAATGCCATGTAATGCTTCGGTTCACGACCTCGTCCACGGGAGGGTCCGCACATCACTACATCCGGAGGGGTTGACGGGCCTCGTGTTTGAAGGAAAAGGAGCACGAGTTGTGGGAGGCATGTGCGTGGCAGGATATGGCAGATATGAAGCAGCTTAGATTGGTTTGGGAGGCTGCCCTTGCTAGTAGACGCTTTGCCGAGTGTGTTCGTAGTGTGCTACGCATGAGAAAACGGTTTTTTTTTGTCTTAGTGAAAACAACGTAGTTTGTTTCGCAATGTGCGTCCGACCTGAAACGTTCGCATGGATACATGCTGCATCTTCGTGCGTCCGACGTTAAAACTTCCGAGTGTATTCCTGGTGTGCGACGCGTGACAGATTTTTCTTTTCCGTACTGACAACGTCGTCGTCTGTTTCGCAATGTGCGATAGCCTCACAAGTTCGAATTCACCTATCATGTGAGTGGGGGGTTCATGGGTCGTCCTTGGATTTAATAACCACACGATTTCGTTTCGTGCCTGTCTTTCACCGTCTCTCTCTAACGCACCGTCCTAAAGTTCGGATCCCGGCGGACTTCGTGTTTCTGGCTGTACCTTCGAGTTGTGCCAAACAGTCGGCCATTGTCTTTACGCATTGCCAAAAGCACTCCTAGGGCCTTCTTGTTGGATCTGGATCTGTTTCGAGCAGAGTTTCGCACTCCAGAAACAGACTACCCCTCCAGTTCCCGCAGGTTAACAGTTGTTCGGGCAGTCGTTCGCAATGCTGAAACGCAATTGGGGCAAGTGTCGGGGGCTGTCTGCTGGGGACCGGGGGTCGAAGAGCCGGGGCGTGTTCGTTGGGCCTTCTTGTTGGTTCTGGATTTGTTTCGAGCAGAGTTGTTCGGGCAGTCATTCCTGATGCTGAAACGCGACTGGGGCAAGTGTTGGGGGCATTGTGCTGGGGACCGGTGGTCAGAGAGGCGGAGCATTGCGATCTCGCGGCGTTGGCCGTCCATGATGCTGCCCGACGAATTCGTCAAGTTCGCCGGGGTCCGAACTTGGCATCAACGCCGAAAACGGACCTCATTGAGTGCGGATGCTGGCGGACCAGGTTGTGCGGTGACAGGGTGTGAAAAACGGTTGGCGATTTTCTCAACTTCGCTCGATTGCGGATTTCTCACAAGCCTGAGCACGACGTGACAAAGTACGGATGCCTACGAACTTGCCGTTTGTTCATGTAGTCGACTGTCATGTTTGTGCGCTGTTGGCACACCTCGGTGTGCCTCCTTGTTAGATCGGCGCTTGTGAAACGCACAGTCCACCGTCCAACATACCGTGTCAAAATCAGTGACTGCATTTGTCATCGTGTGTCGTCATCACACCCCGCCAAATTCTTGCAAATTTGTTTGCTTCGCCGAGACCCTGATGTTGGTGAAGATGCCTTTTTCGTTGGTTGATTCGCATGCCGATATCGTTCATGTGCTACGGCATGTGGGTTTCTGGAAAACGGACCTCTGTACTGGGGTGGGTGATTTATGTTGTCCGTGTGTTCGGTTGTTTTTGTGTATTGGACCAATGCAAACAAAATGTCGGCGTCAAGAAGCGAGGAGCAGCCGACCGGGACCTCAGGGAGGGAATCGCGGACCACCAAATCGTGGTCCTATCAGGCACATACGAAATGGTTCGTCGATTGGTGCTGCCAGGATAAGTCCCAGCCTACCAAACCTCCGTGCGGTCCTGTTATTTTTCTCGAGGACAAAAGACGGTGTAGGGTTCTTGGGACGGTGGCCGGATGGCACGCTGCTAAAAAGGATAACACGCAACATTTTGAGTTGCACACTGTTTACAGTGCGAAGGGCGACGTTGTTGTCAATTCGAAAGGGGCGGTTTTGTCATTCCATTGCTTCCAGGGGTTTGGGGCGGGGGCTGTGAACACGCCTTTCTACCAAGATCTTGCAGTGGGGGGTATTGTTTCGGCTCGGGAGTTTTTTGACTTGCTGGAGCAGAGGAACGTCGACCTGGAGGATCCCTGCAACGTTCGAGGCCACCAAGAATTGTCGCTGCCTGTACAGATCTGCACCGGGTTCGAATCCAGCGGTGCTCCCACGGAAGGGGGAGATTTGGGTTCCGGTCCTTCTTCGCAACTCGGTCGGGGCGAGGCCCGTGGTCGCTTCGACGACAGCGACGACAAAGAACAGGATCAGACGCGGTCTTCCCCTCTCATGCGGGGAGATCGGTCTGTCCTGAGCATTCCTGGGGTGGAAGTGCACACCCCGGTTCGCGAACGGTCGACCGGGGGGGAAGAGGAGGGTGTGCAGCAGCCTGCGTCTAAGAGGAGGGGGAGCCTCAGGAAGGGGGTACGGGGTCCGCAAAGAAACATAAGGCAAGGACCCCCCAGACGACGGGGGCAAAAAGGAAGGGAGTCGAGGGGCAGGAGGGCACATCGGGTCGGAAACGCCCGGCATCGGTGCAGAAACAAAATCAGGCAGGTGCTGTCGAGCCGAAGGGTCCCATCGCCGTCGACGCCGTGTACTTCCTGGAATGGAAAGACGGTGTGCGGACAAAGCAGGAGTTCTTCATCAGCCCATCGCATGTTGTCGACATCGGCGACTGGGAACCGTCCTACAACCAACGGTCGTTGGATCCTGTGCACACGCAGATCATCATTGACGCGATGATGACGACGTTCACGCAAGCTAAGAAGACGTACGAGTTGCCTACCCTGAAGCTGGCGCCGCTAGCGCTGGAGAAACCGAAGCCGGGCGTGCGGGCTGATCGTCTGAAGCCGGAGGACTGGAAGGACAACCTCGCAGACCAATACTATTAATACACCGTTTTTGGACAGCACAACGCGGCTGCAGCCAAGTCACTGTTGGGCACGGACGTCGCATTGAGGTACAACTTCGACAGGTGGCCTGCACGTATGGTTTACTTCTCGGACGACGAGTTCGATGGGTATTTTCTGGTCAGCTCGGAGGACAACATGAAGGACTTGAAGGCGCCTCCTAGACAGCTGAAACTATCAATGAAGGACATTCGGTGGCTGTGGAAAGAAATGGGTTTCCCAAAGGCTGTCATTGGGAACCCCAACGGAAAACAAGCGCAGGTGAAGACATGGCGTGAGTTCCGTTCGAAGGCGCTTCACAAAACGCCTTGCAACCACTTGTGGCTTCTCGCTGATGAGAAGGGCGAGGACAATATTAACAAGCAGAACGCTGCCCTTCGCTCGTATTTTCCGCTAGTGATGGCTGGCAAGAGCGCGTGGGAGCTGGGTATGGAATTTTTCGACAGGTGGGAGATGGGGAGACTTCTGGCACCCGAGGGGGCCAAGTGGATCACAAGGAAAAGGAAAGTGCGGGGCGTCCGGCCCGGCGTTAGCCACATTGAAAACGACAAGTTGGGGCGAAAGGAGGTTGTCTACAACGTCCCCGTCGACGCGCCCCAAAAGAAAGGAAAGAAGGAGAAAGAGCTTGGCGATTGGTTTGTCTAGGTCACCGAGCCGGATCCGCACTGCTGGAAGAGCGTGGAAGCCCTTACCGACAACAAGAAATGTCGGTTGCTAAAGAAGGTCCTCAACTGCGAGGTTGTGTGGGTGCAAACAGGCTCCGCATCATTGGCGAAGCAAGGCAAGCTCGGAGTTTAGGAAGCGGTGCACCTGCTCAAGTGCGATCGCATCTTGGTGCGATTGTGAAACTACTATCAATTTGTGCACGAGAACCGGCCGGTCGCTGATTGGACACGTGCGTATCCCTTCCTGAAGAAGCGGGAGTCGATTTTGGCGGAGTTCGAAAAGCAGGGAATGGATGCCTCATTGTGGGACGGGAGCAAGAAGCTCGTCGGTGACGCCTCGCTGTTCAAGGAGTGTCCGCCATACATGGGGTGCGAGGACGACAAAACGATCAAGGCGACGGAGAAACTCGCCCGAAACAAGAAGTTGTCCGCCGACTGGAAGAACAAGGTCCTCTCTGTGCTGACGGGCAGTAGGGCGAAGAGCATGGAGGTGGCGCTTGCCGAAGGCGTGGTGCATGTTCTGTGGAAAGACACCGGGGAGGTGACATCGATTGCCCCGTTCGGCGTTGACCCTCTGGAGGCGCAGTTGAGGGTCGAGGAGTTGGAGAAAGCGGTTGGGACCACCAAATGCCACATGTGCGTTCTCGATCTGTGCGAGCCGGTGGACTTCAAACTGTGGACCCCGAAAGCATTCGAGAGTTTGAATTCCCTCCTGGAGCAATTGTTTTCGTCGCACTGGACGGTCGTCGCTTTTGTCCCTCGCCAATAGGACTACTCCTTCATGACTAGCCTGCGCCATCTGCCCGTTGTGAAGGCAATGGCAGGGAAGTGGGTCAGGAGGACGCAACATAAGAAAAGTTTCGCAATGGGGAACAACTTGTACTCGGATGACGACCGCATGTACATTCTCTTTAAAGGTGACGATTTGCGGGAGAATACATGTGTCATCTACGATGCTAGGTTGTCGGCAGGTGACGCAGCGGCTGTCGGGGTGCATCAGAAAGTGACCCCGACAGACATATCGGAGATTCCCTTCGACCCTTGTGAGTGGCCGTCGGCCATGCCTGGAGGCTAGAGTTGACAGGAAGGTCTACAAGGACATGGAGCGGAACCCTGCACAATTGGCCCATCTGCTGGAATTTCTGTGCAAAAAGGGGGAGGGAGTCATGTTCCTCGGCAAGCCGCACGCTCGAGTGGTGTGGGAGGTTTTGAAGAGCGGCCAACACGTGGTCGCGATGGAAGGGAATTCTGAGTTGTTGCAATACATGTTGGAGTTCCTCAAAAGCGAGGTCAACTCTGGAGCCAGCCGCTGCGAGTTCGTTTCAAGGCCCGACAAATCAACACGTGTTCGGGAACCGTCCACGGACATGTGGTTCAAGTTGAGCGACCGGAAGAGGAACAGGATCTACGAGTTCCTCTTTTTGGAAATGCGGCCTAGGAGGGACAATGACGCCGAGTACATGCACCGCAGGAACACATGTTGGCATTGCTAGACAACTACCACGACGCCTCACGCAAGAACGCAAAGAACTTCCTCGACCGGCTTGAGTGTTTGTAGCGAATCCGAGCAGGTGCTGAAGCTTGAGAGTTATGGTGCCTTAATCTTCACGGACGACGAGGCGGAGACAGGCGTTGTTTTCGACACCGCGACACCAGAGGAGGACAGCGACAACGAGGACATCGACATCGATTACCGTCCTGCTCCGGTGTTTCATGCCCCTGGCTCTTCGTTGGCAGGTCCCTCAACAAGCCAGGCCACCCAGGCGTCGCCTGTCCTGAAGTACACCCCGGGTAAGACCCCGAGTAAGCTGACGGCGAGACTGACGCCTCGGCATGCCGCCCCGCCTCCATTCCGTCCCGGGAGTTCGGTTCCGCTGCATCATCCTTCTCGCAAGGATGATGCCCTTCACTTCGAAGGGCTCGACCACACTCGGTCGAGCGAGGCGGACTGAGGCCATGACATGATATGGCACCCGGGAACAATCCAGCCAGCAATCGAGAAGGGCGAGTGGATCATGGCGCTCATCAACGACCAAGGGTTGTGGCAGCCATTCCCGCGGTAGTCGAAGGCGGAGTACTTGGAACTCGCGAGGATTTCCGTGCTCGACAAAGTGAGGTCTGCGAATCCCAATTTTCAACTTGGCGACCCGGCCGTCGATTCCACTTCAGAACTTTTGTTTCAAGAACTTCAGGACAAGCACTGGTTGGAACTCTCGGACGAGTTCTTCGAGCTCGACACGAGCCCTTCGAAGGGACGGGTGGACTGGAAGGTTAGACCTGCGACCGGGTCACAAGGTAGTCCCGG